TACTATACCTTTGGACAAATCTTATTAACAGAGCAGACTGATACCTGGCTCTGCCTGTAGCAAGCAGTATTTGGGAGCAAAGAAGGGAGGTAAGTTTGACACAAAAACAAAGGATAGGTGATGACTTGTCCTTGAAAACCACCGGAGCAAAACATAGATGGTCTCTTAGTTATGGAAGCTGATAACTTCTGTACCAATTTGGGTCCAGAGTAGCTAAACACACATATATGTCCCGTAAAGCCAATTAAATGGAAATTCAATCCTGCTCATATGTGTGACTGTAATTATCTTATTCCTTAGAGCTGTTAAAGATTCTGGACTCCATCATAGCTTAGAATAAATGAGAGATAAATGATAAAATTTAATTGATACCTATAACTTAAGGCAATAAATGAACTGAAACTGCTGCAATAGAAAGGTAAGAAACAACCATTAAAAGAAAAAGAAAGTATAATCTCCCTTGGCACAATACACCCCATAGCTACCTGATAGCTCCATTTCTGCCATTTTGCAAAGTCATTTTGCAGAGCTATAGAAGGAGATGTAATTTTTCTGCTAAATGAAAGCTCACATAATTCTTTCTACAGCTTATTTTTTCACATGTGTCAGAGACTAATGCAGATCTCACTGATATTCTTTATGCTACTTGCTACAGGATCTAGCAATACAGCACCTACATGTCTGGATGATATCGTTTCCAGCTGCATGATTTCAAATTCCTATTCCATTTGTGGATAAATATAGTAGCTAGAAACTGTGCAGCATAAGATGCAGTTGTCCTTATTTCCCAACCTGTTATGCTCTGGTGGTAACAATGCCACCTGCAACATCTCTGTGCACTAAGTTCCTTCTCATCACTCCAGGCAAAACTCAGGCTTATCATCCTTTCTGTCTCAGAGGAGAAACTCAGGCAGAGGCAAAAAAGACCCAGGAATCGAAATGCTGCTGCCTTTAATTAAACCACAATGAAGTTTCTAATTGTAGCCCGGGGAAGAATCTTTTAAGTTAAATTCAATGTGTTATAGCAAACACTTGAGATGCAAGGTAGAAGTCAGCCACCAGTTTTTCACATTAGCACATCTTTAAATTGCTTTCTACAAATAACACAGAAAGCATCATCAAGAAACATTGATCTGCCTTAAAAAAAAAAAAAAAAAAAAAAAAAAAAAAAGCACAATTCCAGAGGCTTTTTCTGCCTTCTCCAATGCAAACAGCCTACTCAGTGCTTGTTACCCCTTAGTCAAGCAGAAGTAAATCTTTAAGATTTTTTAGGGCACCTATAGAGCACCTACAAGAAGACTAACTGATAGAGGCTCAGTGCATTTTCTCCTCAAGGACCCTTGTTTCCAGAATGAAAACAAGTCAGGTCTTGCTTACCTTAATCACAGATGGTAACAGCAACCATGCTAAAAGCAAGCATTTTTCACTTAAGCAAATTTTGACTAAAATACTTCTGTGGCAGCTCTGTAATAAGAAAACACCCTGTCTCTCTCTCCCTCCTCAATATGCTTTTCTGGCTCCTTCCCATTTCACTTGAGAAAAGCTCTAATCCAAGGTCTCATGGCCATTGCTGTTCTCTTTCTAAGAAGTATCACTACAAGGATTAGTAATAGCTATAGAAAATTCAAAAAGTTGGCTAGTTTTGAAAAAGCAGGACAAGAAAAGTGTGTTGAACCTTTGGCTTGAAATGCTATTTTCAGTATAGATTACACATATTACTTCTAAAGATATATATAAAGAAGAAAAGAGAACACTATTTATATATAAATGGGAATTACCACCACCAAGAACTATTTGAGCTCTATACAAAACTCAATTACAAATAAAAATTGTATCTGAACTAAAAATCAAGGTCACACTATAAACAGCTACATGCCACACACTCACTCCACATTTCCTGGCCAAATACAGTTTGCTCATGTTTACACCTTGTGATTCAAATGGCCCAGTAATGACACAGCAGCTGTGGAAACACTCAACAAACTAAGTCTTTTTTAATTACAGTTACAGACTAAACACCTTAATTTGTAGCCTTTCCTTTCAAATCCTTTTATTTCAACATCAAGAAAACATGTAGTGAGACATTTATGTTTGTACTTACTCCTGACTCTGTGTCCACCCTAATAAATTCATTAGGGAGACAAGTTGTACAAATGTTGCCTCCACGTCTCTTCTTCAAAGCTCATCATTTCCTCCTCTTTTTAATTTAGCATTTGCCTGCTAGGAGACATTTGGTGATTTCTGTTTATTTTCAGCCACTAACAAAACACTGGGCTGGATCCACGAGCCAGCTGGAAATGGCACTAGTGTCCTGACCAAGCACCTTCTCACAGGGGAAAAATTGCCCTTTGTGCAGGTTACCTGACAGTCCAGCTTCCCGCGTGAGCAGAGCAGCTGATAGAAAGGCAGGATGCGGCTTCTATCACAGAACAAAACCAGAAGGAACCATCTAATACATGCAAACATACAGGCATTTCAGATTCTATTGAATAATTTACAAAAATAATCTTTCGAGGGAGCAGTGAGAAAGGGGAGAAGGAGAGAGGAGGAAAGTTTGACTCTCACAAATGCCAAATCAAAGCCTGAACGCCACACAACTGCTTATAACCAAATTTCCAGCCTAAATAAAGCTTATTGTTATTGTGACATAAATGAGCTTCAGTCACGTTTTTTCATAGACAGAAATAGGCTTGTGGAACATGCCTCAGGTCCCCTAGGTCTCAGCAAAGACCTATCTATGCAGAGAATGACAAGGAAGTCAATGGTAAATAATAAATTTGTTCCTTGCCCTAACAGTCTAATCACATAGCGGGGCTCAAATAGCACCTGCATTGCTAACAACAAAGTTATAAAAGAATAAAAAAAAATCCTAAAGTTAAGGAAATTATATTTGGGCACTCTTTCATTTGGAAACACCAGAACAGGCTGCCCCAAGAGGTTGCAGAATCTTTGACATACACATGACTATTAGACAAACGTGAAGCAACCCAGGCTGAATTCAGTGCTGACCCTACCTCGAGCAGGAAGGAGGTTGGACTAGATGATCTGTTGAGGTCCCTTGCAAAGTGGATGACTCTGATTTTTGAGACCTGCCTTTCTACAAACTTGGATACTCTCAATGTCACCTTTAAAAAAAAAAATTACTAAAATTCATTAGGACACTTGCATTTCATGGAGTTGCAACTGTGCACAACTTGTACTCCACTAACTAGCAAAAATATCAATGTAATGTGTGACGCTACCTCACCTTGTGTCACCTCTGCATCTGCTTCGTCACCAAAGAAGCAAGAACTGGCTTATTTTAGAATAGCTAAATAAAAAACATTGTTCAATCCAGTTCAGTTAAGTACTGCAAAGCTGCATGTTGATTAGAAATATTTAATATACTGACATTTTGTTTTTTTGTTGACTGACTTATGCTAGAGTGAACCACCCAGATTAACCAGTAAAGGAGCTATGTATATATACTCATGCATATAGAAATGAAAACATATGAAACATATATAGATGAATAATATATAAAATATATTATTTTATGGAACATATATAGAAATACACAGCTAGTTTAAATCAAAATTTTAAAATCTATCATTAAACATTTATTTCTGTGTACAGAAGGCCACTGTACTTGGCTCTTTGGCTGCTAACATCTCTTCAAATAACCTCTTTCCATATGGGAACTTTCTGCATTAGTTATAAGTACTAATGTATGAACCTGTAAATATTGTCAATAGTTCATAATCTACAAAGTAAGTAACGAACAATAAACACACACTTCAAAAATAATCCCCGTTTATTTAAAAAAAGAACACCAAGAAATATTTGACCTGTGAATTCACAGGCTTCATAAATAGTTTTCATAAGCAATTAACACTGTACAACTAACCCACAACAGACACCATCCATAGGTTTATAACAAGATGCTTTTAATAAGATGCTAGGTCATTGTTGCTCCCATTTACTGCTGGAACAGCTGAAACAGAGGAGTTAAATGACTTTCGTGACGTCTGATAGGAAATCAGTGTCAGAAATAGGAGGAAAGGCCCCAGACACCTGACTTTCAAAGTCATTCTCAAGACACAGAAGGATAAACCATGATTAAAATATAAATAAAATCTGCGATCAAAAATCTTACTTGCATTGTCCTTGGTTCTTTCAACTCAAATAAGAAAAAAAAAAATCTGATAGATGCAGTTGATCTCTATTGTGGCAGTTTGAGAATTAATCAGATATTCCAAAGATCTGTAGGAGGACGGTCTATAACAAAAGTCAGATGCATAGAAATGGGACAGCAGCACTAAGTAAACTAGATCCCAGGATCACCTGGAACCATCCAAACCGAACTTGCTGCAGACCAGCATTCCAGAGAATCTGCCAAAATGGACAGAGACATTTTTGAGCTGCAAGAGTCTGCAGAAATCCCTGCATTAGCCCTTCCTTAGGCTGCAGCAGGAGGAGTGCAGCAGACAGAAGGCTGCAGGGCTCTCCCGAGGGCTCCCCCGGGCCCCTGGAAGCGCGGGCTGCTTGCAAGGCCCTTGCTCCAGAGCTGCACCAGGCCTGGGTCGGGCACGCAGCAGCCTGCATGGCAGCAGCACGAGGCCCCAGGACTTGCAGAGAAGGCCACTTCTCCCCTGAATGGGTCTTCGTTTCTGCAATATGGCTATATTTATGATGACTTCTGGATTTAACGTGTTTCACGTTTCCACATAGCACCACACTGCTGAATGCTGATTAGAAACAGCACTTGCTATCCACTGCATGGAAATACACTGCCTTGAAAAGGGCTGGGATTTCCCAGGAGGATCTTTCTACTGGAAGAGACAGAAATGCAGATGGACACCTGCCTGTTCTCCGTAAGGGGCTCTAGTAACTGCACTTAGGATGCGCACGTACTGCTTTCAAAGGACTTCAGTATGTAATACTGTTTCAAGCAATCACCATCAATTTCAAAGGTATGGCACAGCATCTGAACACAAACTTCACACAGGGAAAATCTGAAAGCAGAGATGAGCTGGGAAGAGAGAACAATGCTGCTTGTAGTGTGGTACCTAAGGATTTTTCTTCCCTTGTATCATCCAGTCGCATCGACATTGCAAAGAGCTTCGTTAATTCCCACAAACGGGAAGTTTGGGACTTGAGGTCTCTAAGCCAGGCCACGCAGCTCACTTGCTCTCATACCTCCTTCTTTTAGTTTTCTCTGGCAGCTGGGCTCTTCCAGTTCTCCTGCGGCAGCAGATACAGAGGGCTTTGTTTCAAACATTTCAGAAAAACAAAAGTGAAGAAAAAGGACAGCCGCAAAGAGACGTGTTGAAGTTTCTTAGGAAAGTTGCAAGCAAACTCAATGTGAAACACGTTTCTGAAATATTCCATTAGGACAGACAGGGCTAGAGGCTCCAAAATCAAACTTTATCCTTTAAAAATCCTCTTGCAGAACAATTACATGATTATTGTAGCAAGTTAGAGAACCGTTAATCAGGAAGGCATGATTTTTCATAAATAAACGACCAGGTATCTGACTCTCCAGAGCCCAGAACTTTATGCAGGAGCATTTAATTTGCTAGCATTTTGCTGTAGGTCAAGGCAGAGGAGCTTCGGGCCCTGTGCTGTAACAGTACACAGTACTGGCAGTAGTAGGGATATTACAGGGCTGCTATCGTGAGACATTCACAGAACCTCTGTGCAGAAAATAGCTATCAGAAGACAAGCGAACCCATTCCTTCTGCTGTTCTGCCAGTTTTTCTGCCAAGCATTTTATTAAGACAGGGTCTACTTTGGAGTCAAATTTATTGGCAAACCAATGCCCATAATTCATAAGCCATCGTAATTCTGCAGCCCCATAGATGCACACGCTGCGAAGGTGGGTGCCTGTGCACGGGGGATACAAGTGATCTTCAAGGTAATTCCATTTCACCAAGCGAGTTTTGCTTTGCAAATCTGTTATATCCTCTGCCGACCTTGGGATTTCCCCAGGGACCCCAGGAACACGAGCAAGAGTGGCCCAGAAATGTTCATCTGGAGAGTAAGTGTCCCTCGACCAATCAAAAAAATCTTTTGCAAGAGAGCTCTCAAGGGTATATTGAATAAATTCTCGACTTAAAACAAAATAGGCACTGCCTACAAAAACCTCAATGTCATGGGGAGGTGGATTCTTGGAAATGTTGGTTTTTACAGGCATCTGCATGTATTCGTAAGGCACTTTCATTAGCTCATAGTGATAAATAAACCGTTCTCTTTTGCTACTGCTTGGCTTTATAGTTTCCAGCATATTTCCCCCACTGAGTTTTTTCAGTTCAGCGACCAACTGGAAATTGGACCTCAGAGGGAAATCTTGGCCACACAAATTGATAACATACTTCCAGGGAACCGAGGAGGCCAGCAAATCAGACAAACAATTGAAATCTGCTTGCAGCCTTGAAATATGTGCATACTCCACCGTTTCCAACTTCGATGCAATGAAAATATTGGGGAAACATTTAGCTAGATTGTTCAAAGCAGATTTGAAGCTTTTTGCTGCTTTTTGGTCATAATGGATGCAGTATATATTTTGATGGCTATACAGTGAATGTATAAGCCTTTCTACCATTGCTGCATCTTTATGAACAACCAAAGAATAGGCTAATGGAAAATTCTCTTCCTCTGCAGAAACAGGCTTTAGATGGTATTTCCTAAGTGTACGATACAGATGGCAGTCACTTGTCATTGCTACAATGTCTTCATCATCTAAATCAATTATGTATTTTTGTCTTATCTCTAAGCTCTTGCCAATTTCACCAGGATCTTGGTCATATATAGATGAGCAATTAATTTCATAATGGAAGTCATTTTTAAGATAGGAATACCTGTTTCTAACATAAGAAGAAGTGCTTAGGAAGTGCTCAACCAAATAAATGCCCTTATGTGGAAAAAAGAGTCTTTCAACATGGAGGAGCTTCAGTAGTGCAAGCAGCCACCCTGTAAAACACAGGATCAGAATCTTCTTTCTTGTGGGACATTTGTAGGGACACTTACGTCTCTTCATTCTGTAGGAAGACAAAGATACAGTACTTTAAATCAGGAACAACACATCAGAGACACCTGCTAACAAAGACATGAGCACCCTAGCCTGGCTGTAGCATAAACACCAATGTAGCATGACAGGTCACTGGAAGTCTGCAAATAGTTTCCCCTGTTCATGTTCATGTTATTTCAGAAATTGGCAAACAGTTGTAATTTACTTGAAATTAGCTGACTGGAGGCAAGAAAACAAGTTAGATTTGAGATAGCATCCAAAAGAGTAAGAGTGTTGGAATAAGACCCTTAACAGTTACTTTCCGAACTTTTTAAAATTTATTTCTTAGAAGCCATCAACTGAGGGCAGAAACACTCTGAGTTTTTTATCCTGAGTATAAACTCAGGAAGGAGATTTTATTCTTCTGAGTAAGTCCAAGGAATCCAACAGAGCAGCAAGGGAATCCCTTGCGAATCTGCAGAGAATGCCTGCTTAACAGTAGGGATTCATGTTTTAAAAAACGAAACATTAAGGTGAAAGTTTTAAGAGCCAGACAGAGCATCCTCCTGGTCTCTAGCAGTGGGGCTGGGTGGTGAACATGTCCAATTAACTTTCTCCTCATCCTTTCCTTCTCATCCTTTCCTATGGGACCTCACCTGTGTTCAGACTTCTGAAGAAAGAGAAATGAAACCACAGCCTTTCCAGCCACTGGAGGCAGGAAGGGCAGGAAGGGTAGCAGTCAGCTGTCACACATTAACCCGCTCTCTGCTGCGTGGTGCAACTCTGGTCGTGCATCGCAAAAGCCCAGATACGATCCCCTTTTATGTGGTAGTTAATAAAATACATCTCTGTGTAGCAACTTTACGATGGATGCATTACTGCAAGGAAAGCTGAGTGCAAAGGTCCTGTTTCTCTGCAGAACTGCTCTAACAGCTGAGTGCAAACAGCATTGTTGCTATCACTGAATTTAAATTAGATCAGAATTCACATCCAGATGCAGCATTAGTTTAAAGTCTATTTTCTCGCTTAATGGAACTGTTTATGCACAAAACCCTCCAATATATTTCTTTTGAATTTGAGCTGTTTTACAGTGTGTTTCCGAGAGAAGGAAACAGCTGCTCACTTTCCTAACTTGTGTTCAGACCTGATATTGGCTTTGAAATTGTCTAAGTGCACGATCAGCAGAGGGGTACATGTAAACTGTTTTACAGTGGCATGCAGTGCCATTACAAGACCAGAAAGGCTTCAATCCAGAACAGAATGCCAAGTGCAGCAACACTGTAAGCATTTGCAAAGAAAAGAGAAGCCTGAGGAGGATGGTGCAGAGTTCCAACAAGAGGAAAATCCTTAGAAAGCCACCGCTTGTCTCTAGGTCTGTCTACATCCTTCTCTCCGTGCCTGCCCCACTGGTCAGACGCAGGACAGGGGGTGCAGAGAGGGCATGGTGCGCTCTGAGGTTCCCCAATCATGCAGATGATAATGCTGTGGCAGAAGCGCCCTGTCAGTCCCAGCATTTGACCTGCATGGCTAGGTGGATCAGCACAATCTTCCTCCTTTAATTCCTGCAATAAGTGCAGTGCAAATACCTGTAATGCTCTGTGTCATACTCCCTCAACCCTACTGAGCTTAGTAGCAGCTGTGCTTCTACATACAGTATCAAAATGAGCCAAATATTGGGTCTTTTCCCTCTTTCCTGTTTTACAGATGCATTAAGTGGAAAAAAATAAACGCTATGACCAGAAGTGGTGGTTCACGTGTCTGCAGATTCCTCATCTACATGGAAGATCAAGTATTGCAAAACCATATCATGAGACTAACTCAAGTATCTTTACATGTCAGTTCTCAAGCTGTATCTGCACAGCCAGAGCTCAGCTGATAAAGACTGAACAGTTTCATTAGTTCTCCTCCCAAAGCATCTCAACAGGTCTAACAGTATAATAATAGTTCTAACAGCTAACATCAAACCTTCCCTTCCTAGGCAAATTAACAAAAAAGCCACCCCTAGTCAGCTGAAACTAACCTACACTTCTGGAGTCTGGTACAATCTGGAGTCAGACCAGGACATACAAGAAATCACTTGGATGGCACTGAGGATTTCATCTCACTATTGATGAGCATAGCACCAATACTCATACTCCACTCATAACAGTATTTTATAGCACAGCTATATCGCTGTCACCACAGTAGTTCAGACAGCATCAGGCCGTGCATGAAGGGGCCTCTTGCAAGGGAACCCTTAAATCCCATCCCTTAAGCACGGAAACATCTCTCTGTCAGTGTGGTTTACCACTATCAACATCTCCTTGCTCCACTCACAGACCTACCCCACCAAACTCATATTCCCAGCTATTAACCCCCAGGCACACCAGGGTCAGGACAAGTACATCCAGTTACTGTTACGAGGGCAAAACCTCTGCTCTTGGGCACAAATAATGTGCCTAAGACGAGGATGAAGACAGTTTCTGCAAGAGACAGGGCGCTCTCAGGCGGGAGGGGTTCTGGGGCCAGCAGGGTCCTCACAGATCTCACCAGGCTTTGATGAGGTTTTGCCCGCACAGCTTTATTCCACGTAGCACTGCCCTAGCACCACCTCTGTGGGCACTGTGCAGGACTACCTTGCTCCTCTGATAAGAAAGTTTACTATACACAGGATCAGTGTTCCCTCTCTTGTATTAGAAGTCTGTATTAGGAAGGGTGCACGGCATGGCCATCTTGCTTTCTTTTTTAAAATGTTCGCACTTGCACTTCTATGTGCATGTGCGAAGACTCCTGGAGAAACGGAAGCCTGAGCACCCCTTGCAGCCCCTACCCCATGGCAGGGCTGGCACATAAACGCTCACGGTGTCTAACGCAATCAGAGACTTACTGAGCAGGCTGCAAATAGTGCCTGATCCGGAGCACATAACTGGGGTGTTCCTATTTACCCTGCGCACGCAGCAGCAAGCAACGTTCAAAGAAAACAGGTATGCCACAAACGCAAGGGAAACACTTTCTCACGCAACCCATAATTACAGCCTGGCACCGGGTATCGTAAAGACCGTGACTCAGCAGGATTCAACGAGAATGAGGCAAGTGGCTAAGGGGAGTATCCAGAGTTACACTAGCCAAGAGAGAAATAGAGATGAAGGCTAAACTCTGAAACCAAGACATATGGCAATCACAAGCCACCCAGAGGACCAACTGGAAATGTATACTGACCATAGCTCCACACTCTGCATATGCTTTTATCATCTGTTGCAGCATGATAGATGACATCCCTAGCTAGATGCATGACAACAGTAACTGTATTCCACACAGAGAATGCCTGAGTTACCTCTGGTATCGTTATCTTTTCTTTACCCTCTCTCTCTCGTTTTCCTCCCTTGAGGAAGCTGTTTGAGCAGCTTTATACCTCAAACACTTCACATCATTTGGCTTTTGCAAACTGCAGGTACACAAAAGAGGTACAGGGCGGCAGAGGGGAAGAACGTCGCGCTCCCAAGAAAGAGATCGGCTCCCAAATGAACCCTCCCAAAGAGGAGCGAGTGCAGACTGAGTCAGATGCAGTAAATTCAAGGTGTCAGTCCCTAGCAGCAGGGCACCCAAGAGAGGCTGAGCTGCCCGTGTTTGCTCAGGGCAGTGCCCTGCGCTTGGAGAAGGTCCAGAAAACAGGAGTGCAACAGAGCTCTGCTCCCTCCAGCCCGTGCCCACTCAGCGCAGACACCTTACCCTCTGGCACACTGCAGGGAATTGCAAAGCTCTCCTCATGGGGCTCATACAGCACCCATAAAATCCTATAGAGCCCATAAAACAAAAGAACATTCCCTCAAACACTAGCCAAGAAAACTGGGCTCCGACTCACCTTACAGAGGTTAACCAGAGCTAAACTGACCAGAGTTAAACTGATAGGCAGCCTGTAAGAAAGCAGGACTGTAGCCTTCCTCCACAGCAACTGTTCCACCAGCTCGTGAACTCACAGAGCACTGCAAGTGTTGAAAGTTATCAACAGAGCTATAGCTAGCTGAGAAGCTAGGAGGGAAGGCCAAACAGAAAGCAGAAGCTTGCTAGAAAATGCACACAAGGATGAAATCTACAATTAGACCTTTGTTTGCACTAACTTACAGTAAGGGGGAAAGAGAAAGCTGAAATATACAGAAATACAAACAGATGTAATAATACATATGTATTAACATATGTACACGAGATCTGTATATGCATATGTAACATTAAACAGATGGGCATACACAGATCTCGTGTACATATGTTAATACATAAGTATTATTATATGTAGCATTAAATTCAAATTTATATTGGGTAGCACAGGAAAGGTTTGGGGGAGGGAAGTCAAGTACTGATGGATCACCAGGGAATAAATGCAGAAGACCTGCTATTTCCTGCTGCTATCAGCTAGTTGTCTGGTAGATAGTTGTCATTCTGGTAAAAACTGATGCTTCTGCTTGTCAATTAGTGAATCTTACAGCATTCTGTAAGTACAAATTAATGGCTGGTGCAGTTGCACAGTACCCAGAAGTGTGCAAATCCCTACACAAGGCACATCACAAACATGAAAAGCAGTATTTGCACCCATGCTGCAGACAACGGTTACCTGTTTGGGTAAATCATATAGCAGACTTGACACTGAGCTTGTGCTAGAGCACTTCACCATAGGTAAAAATAAAGAGCATCCATAGGGCCCAAGAGGCAAACTGATGCTGTTTCTCTAATGGTTTCTACTACCTGGATTACTATAGCACAGAAATTTTGTATTTCTATTGAGAAGCTGTAACCACCTTAAATGTTAACTGCTTGCAAGGTGAAGCCCAAGGAAAAGCTAATTATAGATAGATTAAAACCTGCTTTTAGGATTCTTCTGGGAGGAAAAAAAAATCACTAAATGAATTATAATTCTAGCTTGATAGACTTATAGCACTTGAACGCACTGCCAAACCCCACTCTGTGCACCTCTCTGGATACGTCTTCCTAAGGGAACAGCGAGTCCAGATCTGGCACAAGCAGCCTGCTGCACGTGGGACACCTACTGAGCAGAAGAAA